GTATTCACCTGAAAATAGGTCAATAATTGTATAATATTGCAACTTATCATGAGGGTACAATACATCCTTTCGGCTACTTTTTATTCTAGAGTCACAACATGAATGGACAGTCCAGCAAGGACACGGTTCTGCGTCTACGAATGTGGATATTGCAGGAGCGCAGGAAAATGGTATCCGCATTGTTTTACCAGATCATCTGCTAAGCCTAAGAATAGTCAATAGATTCTTGCTAAGAATAGCAAACAATAAATAACTGTATTCTGACTGTATAACAATAATCATTCATCTAAAAACACATTTGAAACTTTCATATTTCAATGCAAGCAGTATCTAGTGAGTTGCTGTTGACCCACGGGCACGTGTAACGCTGTTCTACATACCATTAACTACGATAATTGACATGTATGATGTAGATATTCATATATAGTAATGTATACATAGCCTAGGTAATGGTGTATGTTGAGCAGCGTTACACGTGCCCGTGGTTGACTAAACTGCCTCCTATTTTCACATTTATAACACATTATCTGTGACTGTATAATTATTATCTTTTATATAGATATACATACTTTTTGATATAAAATATTATCTGTATATATGCATTCATTTTGTAATGTGCATTTTGAATATATAATTGTATCCCCCGAACGAAGTTCGTGGGGATACTATGGGTTTGGCATCTTCGCGCCGCCGCCGCAGAGATATATTTGTTCTTCTCGGATCATCTTCACATTTCGCATGAAGGTGCGTTATCGTAAAGTGAAGACGCCACTCGTTTTTGGTGTGGGCGGAGTCATCGTTGCCATGGTAACAACATTTTTTCTCGAAATATTCTAGAACCTGTAACTTCTCCAGTTTTTACCCGATTGTCATTAAATTTATATATTTGTATTTAAATTTATATTAACATTTAAATTTAAAAATTTAAAAATTTAAATTTAAATTTAATATTTGTATTTAAATTTATATTGATTGTCATCAAATATATATATATACATATATATATATAGGACATGTTATATCGCCCCTGTGTCCCAAATTCCATGACAATCGGGTAAAAACAGCACAAGTTACAGGTTCTACAATATTTCCACGAAAATGTTGTTACCATGGCAACGATGACTCCGCCCACACCAAAAACGATTGGTGTCTTCGCTTTACCATAACGCACCTTCATGCCGAATTTGAAGATGATCCGAGATCGGGTAAAAACTGCCCACCAGGTCACTGCGACCTTTATTTGACCTTTACCTTGACCTTGATCATATTTCCCTTCCGCTCTCTAACTCGGCCCCTAATTGATCTAGCGCGACCAAACTTGGTATGCTTACACATCTTGGGGAGAAGGTCTGTCACATACCAAAACCACCACTGCCCTTGACCTTAGTTTGACCTTGACTGTCGACTTACATTTTTTCTTCGGCCTCCTAGGGTAACCAGATTCCATATACTTGCACATCTGAAGCAGACCAGTTGTCTAACAAACCTTTGCCTTTGTGACTTATTTAACTTAACCTGCCTTCTACGTCCTTGCGGAGATATTCCATTCATACTAGATCACGGGAATACATGTAGTTGGCGACAAACAATGATTGGACAGTCCAGCAAACAACAGCATTGTTGGATGCCATTACAGAACACTTTGATGAATTGAAGTCAAGCGCCAACAAGGCCAAGGTGTGGAAGAAAATATGCACTGAGTTACAGAAACATGTACCTCATATCTCCGTGCATAAATGTAAAGACAAATGGAAAAACCTGAAGAAGTCTTACCGAAATCACGTTCAGCAAACAAACAGAACTGGTGCTCAGCCGTCAAAATGTAAGTTTGCAGACCAGATGTTCGAAATGATGGGGGATGACCCAAGTGTGGTGCCAGTATACGTTGCAAGCTCAGATGCAGCTGCAATCGAGAGTACGCTAGATGACAGTACGCAGTCCAGTGTTGTTGAGGCTGATGAAGAATTGAATGAGCAAGGCCGAAAACGCAAATCGGCGTCAAATGATAATATTAAAAAAACTAAGAAAAGAAAAGCTTCTGCTAGTTCAAACATCATCACATATATGCAAGAGCATGATGATAAGGTTCTTGCGCAGCTAGCCAAAATGCACAATAAAACGATAGCAGTTATGAATAAAATTACAGATAAACTTTAATCTGTAAATTCATTCAATGGCTCTGTTAGAGAAGCATATAGAAGTATGTAGTGTTGTTTCTTGAGCTGCTGTGTTTGTGAGTTTTCATTTTGTAAATTCTCAATACAGTGATCTAAAAATGTTTTCAGCCTAGCTGGCTGAATTTCTCTGTTTATTGAATATTCATATATTATTTATCTGTATATTTCGATGGAGCAATAATTGCAACTGCAATTGTAATTTTATTTTATTTTGTTTTATTGCATACAAGCTTTAATCTTTAAATTCATTCAATGGCTCTGTTAGAGAAGCATATAGAAGTATATAGTGTTGTTTCTTGATCTGCTGTGTTTGCGAGTTTTCATTTCTAAAATTTAAACCAGTAATCTAAAAATATCTGCAACCTAGCTGGCTGAATTTCTCTGTTTATTGTATATTCATATATTATTTATCTGTATATTTAGATAGAGCAATGATTGCAGCTGCAATTGTAATGTTATTTTATTTTGAATTATTAAACAGAAAACACATTCAAACACATGAGTTCATTGGGTTCAAAATGGTTGCCTACATTCTTTTGTCTGAGAATAACTCAATTTTCACAAAGCCTCACAAGATTTTGTCTCCACTCTACACCGGCTGGTCTATGATGATATGGTCTCTCCAGATCCTGGTTAGCATCCTTACTGGGTATTTCATCGAAAGGGTTGTCATTCATGTGTACACATATGTTATGCAGGATGCACGCACAAATTATGCTATTGATCATCAGTTCAGGGTCGGACACATAAAAGTCACGCAACCGGCGAAATCTTCCCTTCAACTGTCCAAATGCACGCTCAATAGCAACTCTTGCGGAACTAAGTCTGCGATTGTAGACCTTTTGTGCATTTGTCATGTTACCATAATCCTTGAATGGCGTCATCAGCCATGGCTCTAGGGGATATGCGGAGTCTCCCAGAAGGAAGTCGTCATGTCCGAAGAACTGATCTGACTGTCTATATATATCTGAATTTCTAAGCACTCTAGCATCGTGTGTACAACCTGGCCATCCGGCATATACGTGTGTAAATGCTAACGTGTGGTCACATATTCCTTGTAACACAACAGAATGTTATTTTTTTCTGTTAATATCGGATGCATGATTAACTCGATCTTGCAACTTGATCTTTATGTGTCAGCCATCGACACATCCAATTACACCTGGAAATCTACAATATTCTTCAAATCCAGCTGCTATATGATCTCTCTCTTGTACCTGGCCACTTGATGAACCGTCTCAACATTTTTTTTCATAGCTTTCACAATGCGCTTGCAAATGGAATGTGCTGTAGACTTGGAAACATTGAATCGGTCAGACATGGAACGAAAGGATTCTGGTGTACCTAAAATTATAATCAAAGGGACGAGTCAGGAAATACATGTCAGGCCCTTAAAAAAGAAATGTCGATGGGGCAGATCGTGTGGATGTAGGGGACATATGAGCAACAGTGGGTGGGCGGTGTTACGGTATACATGGGGGTGGGAGACAGTGTACATGGAGGCGGGAGACATACATGGTGTGTACATACACGGTAGGGAGGGGGAGGTGGGAAGATGGGGGAGTGGGGGGAGGATTGGGGAAGGATGGGGGAGGCGGAAGACCCAGAGTATCCCCTGTACCCCCATCGTGGGGTGCAAGCCACACGTAAAAAGGTCGAAAGAAATTACGTGAAATAATGCAATTTCCTGCAATCTAGGCAACTGAATAAATTGCTTCAGAAGAAATTAATTTATACTAGTTTTTGTACAAATGAAACGATGCACTTTTTTCGCGAGTAAGTTGCTTTAAACTGTTGTTTTAGGGTATTTAAGTTTTTCAACCTGAATGCCATTTATTATCAAATATTTAGGCCTACCCAAGTACCACAGGAACAAGAGAGCCTGCTTTTCAAATGGAATTGGTGGGCGGCCATGTCCAGTCGTCTGCATCTCTTCATGCTGGCTTAACTCGGTAACAAACATGTTGAATGTTTCCCTCTCCAGGCGGAAATGGGATTTAAAGTCAGAGGGTGAATAGCTTGGAACGGTGACCTCAACATAATTTTCAATCCGAGGAACCTTGTCTCGTCTGCTATGCGTATGGCTCTCTTCAAGCAGTAATGAAGCATCATGACTGTCGATGACTGCGTGTGTTATCTCATTCTTCGATTTCGTGAATAATAGGATTGCAAGTGCTATTCGTTTGTTCTTGTCACTGGCATCCATGATAATTAACCCGGCTTAACCCAAAAACCGTTCGTTTATCTTCCCTAACCCAGATGCGTTCGATTTCTTACCCAGGTTACCCCAGGTGGCTCTGGGGAAGCAAATCGAACGCACTATATGTTCACGTTATTCCTAGGTTATCGTGTGACCCAGGGCAGTTTGTTGCCCGCGAAGTTGGCGTGGTCAGTCCTACGGTGGCATGATCTAGCCCAATCATGTACTTGGCTCCCTAGGGTATGTGAGCCAATGCTCTCTTGTGTAGCTATTGGTTATGTAGCGTTTCGCATCTCCCGGCGGCACCCGATGGCGCCACCGGTCGATACTTAGTGACTAGCACACAACCTTAGGTATTTCACTCACCTGTTGTGCCCGGAGGCGTTGAACTGGCCGTATCGTCACCACCCGGACCCCGCTAGCCACTCGAGCGCTTCAGTGCTACTGCGCTCCTGCAATAACCCGTTCTGCTGTGTTCCGGTTCCGGTGCGTCGTAGTTAGTAACGACACGCACACACAACGGAGCAACTCCCACCCCTGCCCGCTGGCCTCGCGTTACATTGAATAACAAGTGTATACCCAGGGTAAACACAGAGGTTAAACAAATAGAATGGTCTATGAACGCAGCCGGGCAAAAGGGCTACAGTACAGTTAATTAACCGGCGGCCTCCCCTCCCGTGCAGCCGCGCATGAAATAGACTAACTCTCCCGCTATTCGTGCAGAGCCGATACTTCTACTCTAGTATTGTATTATTTACTCGCCCCACAACGACGGGACAATACGGGGTTCTACTCACCCAACGGCCGCTCTAGGCAGAACACGGTGGTTCTCTCTCTCTCTCTCTCTCCAATGCTATCTCTCGAACTCTCTCGAACTCTATTATCTCGAACTCAATTATCTGCGTACAACCTCTCCCGTGTGCACCTCTTGCTCTCACTCTCTCCTCTCTCTCTCTCTCTCTCTCTCTCTCTCTCTCTCTCTCTCTGTCTCTCGCTCTCTCTCTCCAATGCTATCTCTCGAACTCTCTCGAACTCTATTATCTCGAACTCAATTATCTGCGTACAACCTCTCCCGTGTGCACCTCTTGCCAACTACCAAGAACTACACGACGATTTCCCGCCTATAACCTGCAGGCCAACTGTTTCGCTGTGCTCTGCCGCTAGAGGGGGAACCACTTCATCCAACATGGCGGCCCTCTTTGTTGATGTTTTAACAATCGGTAAGCAACCCCAAGACAAAACAGGACACAATGACAGAACAATTAGACAATTACAAACATTTACCTTCTCCCCATCTCCCGGTTGTCCGCAGGCCGTCCCGAACTCCTGGTGCAGGGCATTGCTCTTTCACGATGGGAGTCGCACTGCCAGGACGAGTGGTCTCGACGACCGCGGAGTGCTTTCTCTGGGAGGTCGACCTGACCCCTGCCACCGGGGTCGCTCTTGCTGCCTAAGGGGACAACAGCAGCTCGTCCGCGAATGGCATCTCCTCCCATCCATCGCTAAGCTCCATGGGCTCCTCGCCGAGCAGCTCCCTCTCCCTAGCCTCCTCGGCTGCGTCATCTCCTTCTCCTCCGGCGCAGCTTCTCCCTCCGGCTGCGTCGTCTCAATCGTTATCAAGGATAACTCCGGAATCCGTCTCAAACTCCGACACTAATGGGGAACAAACCCCAAATTTGTTCCGATCAAGGGTAATAATTCTGAATGCCTGTGGGTGAGTAGCGCGGTACCAGCCGGCAAGAGAACTCACGTGACGCAACTACCATGGGTGCTCCCTAACAGATACCCGAATCAGTGCAGTGCAACATTCTACGGACAGGAGGGGGTAGTCGCTTGGCCGACAGACACGGGTCCGTAGCAGTATGGAACCCGCACCCCGTCCCTACCCCGCAATACGGCCGGCCCCGTGGCCCCCTATATCTGCGTTAGCCACGGATCAGGAACTCCAGGAGCCCCTACATGTCCGCCCAAATCAAGCTACTGGCGAGAGACATCCTGCCCCCCCCCCACGGAGCTCCGGATGCCAAGAGTTGCGCCTGACCATAGCGGCCTTTCGCAACTGAGAACCAGCCCATCCGCAGCTTACATCGCTACCAAGCGCTCAAGCAAGGTGAGGTAGTATTATCAGAAAACGCCCTGGAAGAGGAGAACTCACCGGATATATCAGCATCACAAGGCCTGACCCGCAGACCCAAACGCCGCAACCCGGGCCGAACAGACAGCATAGCCTCCCGAATTAGTATGGCGAGCCCTGAAACACTCGGTCTGACAATAACCCAGAGAATAATCTACCGAGCACAGTCGTGACACACACGACATCCAGGGTTACCTTACCGCACCAAGAATTAACATGGCACGATAACATTATCCGGGAACTACAGACTGCATGAAATCGTTACCAACCATGGCAAGCGGATAGACTGCTGCTACACCATTATATGGCTTGCTCCCCACGAACCAACAGTCACCCCTCGGTCTGACAACCTCTTACTACGGGGACGCATAACCGTAGTGACACGGAGCTTTCACGAATCTCCTACCCGGTGTGATCTGCACCGAGTTAGAAAACTCAAAACCACCCAAACGGTCCCTCGCATGCCCGGCCACCAGTGGCTTAACAGGAACATCCCCAGAACCAATCTGAGGGCCAACCACCTGCCCCAACTTCACCGATTGTGTCTTGAGGCTAGAACGAGACAATCCTGATCCATCAACCCCGTCCAACCCTGTGTCATCCCTCACCTGGGAATCCGCGCCACGCGGATCATGTGCACCTTGACGCGCCACGTTCCCCGGACCACCAGACCCACCAACCACCTCTGCGTCTACACCCTCAGCCCCATCTCCCAGCCAGTCTCAGCCCCATCTCCCAACCAGGAGACTGGCGCACTCACACCCTCGTAGTCTTTCAGGTTATCTACGGCGACCACCTTAACTACACTATCAGGGGAAGCCTGAATCCACCGAACGTTACCCTTCCCACGCAACACTAAGAAAGGGCCCCGCCACGGAAGTCCCAACTTAGCATCCGCAGGAGGGTAGAAATACCACACCCATTCCCTGGGAGCAAACGTAGAAGTACGAACTTTACGATCGTAACCCCTCTTCTGACGCTGTGCCGCCCGACCTAGCTGTGCTCGCGCATATACATGCGCCTCTCGAGTCGCACGCTTGACCCACTCCACAGTCAAATCATTACGAGACATGACAGGACTTCAAGGCAGGGGACGAATGCATTACTTCCAGCAATCGACACCACGCCTGTTCGCTAGCCTGCTCCGACGAGAGGAAAGGTTGCACCCTAACTGTC